CAACTATCTTCTCTGGCCTCTATTTCCCATCAACTAGTGGGGAAGCAAGCCTCACTTAAAATACTCTGTGTGCGTGTGTGTGTATTTTCCAGTGAGAATAGTGTTAAGTCAACTTTTAAGACAGTGGTTCCCAAAACTTTTTCAAGCTACTGCCCCTTTTTCTCTTGGGCAACGACCTTAGCGCCCACCATGTGCAATTCTTGACATTAGGTTTATTGCAACTTCAGAACAACTAGTCTCAGTGGCTGCTCCCTTTGTGCCTAGGAAAGGGGAAAGGGGAAAGAGGTGATAGCCCAAAAATTTTTGGGGACCATTGTCTTATATAAAAAAGTCACTTTAGCACCATTCTCATTGGAAAACACTATCCTGAAGGCTGATGGCTTTGTTGTGCACCAGTACTTTGAATGAAGCCTGTTTGCCACTATGTTTTCCCTTACTGCCCCCCTGATGCTCCCTTTCCTCCTCACTGCTCCCCTGGATCTTTCCACACACACCACCCATTTTGGAAATCACTATTTTAATAGAAGAATCTGAGGTATTCTTTCTCTCCCTCTCTCTTTCACACACACATAAACACCAGCGTCACCTCCTTCCAGCTGGTTACTTAATTTTTCCACATCTGGTTGGGGTCCTGTCCCTCCCCCATCCCATATACACGATGGTTGCCATGGAACAAGACTGTTTTCACACTATACAGAACGCATTTGTGGTCCCCCCCCCCCCCCAGGACCTGGTGCATTTGCCATCCGCTCTGTTGCTGGCACTGGCTGACTGCACTAATGTTTCACATCTGTTTGCTAAACCTTTCCTCACAGGGCCAATTGTTTTGCTCTGTGCATGGGGTTTATTAACTCTGTTCCTTAACTTTTGCAAGACTGAGGGCAGCAACGTTTTTAAAATGTGTTAAAAATGGTTATATCATATATTCCAATTGTCCAAGTTTGGCTGGGACAGTCTGATGAACCATCTACCATCCCACTTTTTCAGCTGCTTTTTAAAAATGTTCCAGTTTCTTTCTCTTTTTCTCACTTCCCTCCTTCATTCTTGGCTTACTTTAGTTGCTACAAAAATAGTTTGCACTCATCTCAGTAGGAGGAAGAGGCAGACTCTTGCACTTCCCAGTATGCTCAGAAAAAAGCAAACTGCTAAAGTCTTTCCTAGCTTGAGTGTTCTCCATTAATAACTTTTTTCATCTTGACAACATTCTGATTTAGCTTGGCCACATAGGTCCCTGTTTTCATCTATGAAATACTAGAGGGTATCTTGGAAAGAAAACCCTGTGATAGAGTCACTATAAGTTGGAAATGACTTGAAGGCACATAACAGCAACGACAACAACAACCTATTGCAGTTGTCCTTCTGTATTTGCGAGGGTTGGGGCGGAGGACCCTTGCAAATATGGAAAAATCCTGAATAACTGAAGGCCCTGCCCATCTTCTCTTCTGGGCTTCTGAAAGCCTAGGGCAGTCGCCTGGGGCTTGGGAGAGGGAAGAGAAGCCGATTCAGGCCTTGCCCACCTTCCCTCCCTGGCAAACTTGCAAATAATCAAATTCATGAATGCCAAAGCTGTGAATATGGAGAGACAACTCTATACACAGAGCCAGCATGGTGTAGTGGTTTGAGTGTTGAACTACGACTCTGGATACCAGGGTTTGATTCCCCTGTTTGGCCATGGAAACCCACTGGGTGACTTTGGGTAAGTCACGTACTCTCAGCCCCAGAAAACCACATGATAGGTTCCCCTCAGGGTCACTGCAAACTGGAAATGACATAAAGGCACACAACAACAACAACAACAACAACAACATTAT